TTATGCATTAGAAAACTGAAAATTACAACTCATGTAACTTTAGAGAACAATGTCAAGGAAATGCAAGTTTTGCAGGAATATGAAGGAACAGGCAAAGACCTACTAAAAAAAATCCCATGACTGAGGACCTCATTCAAGGATCTGAGAAGGATTCAATATGGAGATCCATAAGCATTATCTGTAGTAGTGTACAATAAACCTGTGAACTAACAAGGTTGTTACACAAAGTGGACACACCTTGAAAACTATGTTTTTATGCGCTACGCACTCAAGGTGTAGTAGCCAGTTGAGCATAATATTTAGGTGCTGAGTGAGTGTAATATTTAAGCAGGAAGGTGATAATGGCTGTTAATTTTGACTTTTCAATCAAGAATAAATTTAGACAATAATTTATGGCAGAAAGTTAAGACAGGTAATCTGTAAAAGATAAAATTTTCAGAACAAACTGGTCTGACATTCCATACTGATAAGGATAACTCAAAAGAAAGTTTCAAGTTTAAGAAACAATACTTAAGCAATAATATTTCAGCAATTAATCAACAGTATTCACAAGCCTGATTAGTAAGCTGGTATTAAGAAGTTGAAATTCAGTATGATGTAAGAGACTTGATTATTTTTATTGCTAAGTCTTACTGCAAAATAGTTTGCCTGAATCTTTAAATGACTTCCGTTTAAAAGCTTAAATTCACTGTGTGAAAATACTTTGAACTGAGGCACTAGATGAATCAGATTTAAGTTAAGCACCTGGTACCTCTTTGAGTCCAGCACTCTCACATCTAAGACCAAGCCATGTCTGTACAACATGAACCATGTCTCAAAATCTAAGTCTTTTTGGCAAATAAATTAATACTGTAATGCTAACATAGTTTCTGCCAATATCAAATAGGCCCAATAATATTTTCCATATAGTGAAGTTGTGGGATTGACCTTTTGTAGTTCTCAGGTAAAAAAGGCTTGCTGTGATATAAAATTATGATTACTGACCAGATACAGAAGTTTCTCAAGCAAGGAGCACTAATTTCTTGATGTCTTCATTCCTAAGTTTGCAAATAAAGCCAGATAGATATCCTGGTAATACAGTCTCAAGGAGGATAAGAAGTGTGACAGATGACTTGCCCACTTCTACATGCTCAATTATACAAAATTATACAAGCTGAGAAACTTATGAAAATGTAAGCACAGGACTAATATTCAGAAAATAAAAAGGTAGTACGATTCACACCAGAAAACAGATCCACTCTATGTGCAGCGCTCACCACAAGGTCAGAGCTCCACTTGACTTGGTCTTCCCTACAAACCTTTGGAGCTTGTGTTGATCTGCAGTTTATAAGATGAATGAACATCAAGATCAAAAAAGAGAGACAGCCTTGAAATCAGCCGTGGAGCAATAAAATATCTACTAAATTATCCCTTTCTTCACCGCAAATAATTGGATGTCTTTTTCCTACAGACTTATTTATGAGTGTTGTATTGACTCTTTGGAGTCTCCTTTAAAGAAATAAAAAATAAAAAATGGTGCCTTTAATTAACCTCTTGGGCACCTCTCCAAGCTTCAAAAGATCAGACCTTTGCATGTGTGCACACATGCACAGGAACAACAATATCTGAACTTGCCCTAGGTAGAATAATAATTACAAGTGTTATTAGGCCCAATGTGCTCTTGGATGAGCAGGTCTGGGAAAAACAGTATCAGCTAAAGAATGTTTTTGACTGTTTCCATAATAAATTGGTAGGATTTTGTTCAGCTTTTTGTGAATCATTGTTTAGTACCAGTGACAGGACAAGAACACTTAGCTAGTCACTGGTTGTCCCAGCACTTCTGCAATCACAGGTGGAAAAAGATCAACTATTTTGGATGTTCTGCTGTAAACAGGCACAAGACTGTCCCTTGCAGTTCATTTATCTAGTACCTCCTCCATTTCGATTTTAAGTGATAAGACACAACTACTTTTCATAGCTATTTATAAGTTCAGTTACCTTCATATGAAGGTTTTTTTTTTTTTTTTTTTTTTTTCCCTAACTGGAAGGATGAAGAATTATTTCCCTTTTCTGAATTTTCTGAGACATCCAATCTCCCTTGTTATTAACTGAAAATCATGCAAACAAACCACATACATTTATCCAGGCTGTCATCCAACCCAATTCTCCCAAGTTTCCTGTTTCTCAGCCGTTTGCTTTAAACCTTAGACCACATTGCCTAGTCCAAAATCTATTTAAAAAATCACTTATGTATAAATAAGGTTTAGAGTAGTTGTAGGATTCTGAAAATCCCAGGTATGAAAATTAATAGCCAACATTCTGTCCTGGTCTTTTGCAAATCTCAGAGCCATTTGCAAATATAATCCAGGTTTTGCTCATCCAATTTCTGCTTGGGATATGTACAAACAGGCATTTTGTGCTAGCTTGTCCTCTGTTTAAAGTAAGAAAAAAACAACATGTGTTAAATTTGGCACTGTAGGTTTTCAGAAGAAATTGGTAGTTCAGACAGAATATTGTGTAGTAAATACTTATTGAATATCTTGTTATATTCTGGAAGTTACTTGGAGAATGTTGATACTGGTAACATTTTCAGTAAGCATTCAGTCTTTCTGTTTTATTTCCATAAAAGAAGAGAATCTTTCAGTCATCAGTTTTAATATTATGGAGGGAAGCATGAGAAACATGTCTGCTCCTTTGGATGACTTTGTTATTTAGAAATAAATCTTTATTTCTTGTAACACATGACACCTTCTTTTTTCATTACTGATTCTTACAGATCTGCCATTATTCCTGGACTATTAATTACACAACTAATGTAATTAGGAATCTTCACCTTTTATGCAATGCATATGTGGGGGCCTTGTTTAATACACATCTGTGGGCATTTTTCTATTTTTTTATTTTTATTTCTTTTTTTCAGAAAAATGGGCAGATGTGGGAAGTCATGCTATCAGCAGCCTAACAGCTACAGCAGTGTTCTCTGAATTGGCTTTGGGCTACAAATCCTCTAACACAGGTCTGGAGGCTGCTGCCAGGCCAGCCTCAATGACCCTTGGCACTACCGAATTTCTGTTAAGCTTGCACAAGAATGGTGGTATTTCCCCACTCTCTTTCAAAATATTAGTTTGCGCAAGTCCCTTTTCCTTCCTTGTATTTGAGCAGCACGCTCTGGGCAGAGGATACAGTCCTGCTGATCACGAGTTCAGTCCTGGCACTGTGGGCTTTCACGTGAAGCTCGGGCACGGGCCAGCTCTCACTGCATTTCTGTAGCAGGTGGCGAGAGGACAACTGTTGATACACTGGTTATCAGGGCTCATTTGCTAATGCTGTATCCAGAGCTGCCTGAGTGTCACGCTGCTGAGCTGTATGTGGAGGAGAGGTCTGCATACAGAACAAGTGGATTGGCATAACCCTGACCCAAACTGGGGTAAACAGTGCATTAAAATAGTATTGCCAACCTAGAGAAGACCTACCACGTATATAGTCCATGGCATTAAAACAAGCAGTACTAACAGGGCCTGTGATCACATATATTTACCAGATTACTGCTGTTTATCTTGTGAGCCCTCTATTTGTAAGGACTACAGGTTTTGTTATTTTTATCTAACTCTTGTGAAACTGCCTGATGGTGCTTCTTTTGTTTTTTAAATTCTGGACACAACATACTCAGCTGTTACATTCTTCTATTCCTTACCCTCAAACACACTTGCATACCCATACCCCCAAAGATGTCTTGAGTTCTTCATACATGAAGGTACTGATTTTCAAAGGCATTCTAGTCCTATACAGGTAACTTCATAAATGACCAGATTTCTAGAAGAGCCTGAGTTGAAAGTTTTGTGAATTGGAAGTAAATGGGACTGAGATTCTGACATAACAGATTTGAGGACTTACTGAGTCTGCAAGGTCAGAGTGACTGAGAGCTTTGTTTATTGCTACATCAAACAGACACTAAACCACAATCCAAAAATTTGGATATCACATAAGAAGCTGTGGTTCAGGTGATGGGCATTAAAGAAAACTCCTTGGACTCTTCTTGTCTTCCTTAATATGAGTTAATGCTGCTCGCTTGGCTTTGAACTGCAGTAGGCTCTGGACCTGATCCTTTTCTTTTTAATGCACTTCCAGCCCTTTCTAGGCTTAGCAGTATCTCCTAAATTGCAGTTCAGGACATATGGAAATCTCATCAGACATGTTTAATCCTTGCCTTCCTGTGGGGTTGTTACTCAGTGAATGACCCTCCTTTTGAGCTCTACCTATCAGAACTAATTGCCTTGTTCAGAGAAGAAAAGTTGTTTTTCTTTTTTTAACTGAAGAGATGAGGTGAAGCTTACACCTAGCCAACAAAACGAGTTTGCTTGTATTACGCAGGATCTGACCTAACTCTTCTGCTGGTTTTAGTAAGTAAAAAGCCATGTGTATGCATTACTTCAATCAAATGAAACATCCCCAGGTAGAATAATAGAATACCTTAAGTTGGAATGGACGCACGAGGATCATCAAGTCCAGCTAGTACTATAGGGTTATTTTCAAGGTACTTGGGGTGCTACTGCTATCAGGTTATTTTGCTAAGCTGAATAGCACTGGGCCGCTCATCACGGAGGGGTACAGTTCTTGTTGCTAGCCATCTTTGTATTCAAGCAAGAAAAAAAACTGATCATCAAATGTTGCTGTTGGCTGGGCCAATTATGATATTTCAAGACACAAAGAAAGTTTTGAAAGAACGTGGGTTTGCACAGTAAAATATCGAGCAGCATTAACAAAGCTGAAAAAGGAAGGCACTGAGACATCTTTGTAAATCAAAGCCCTAAATCTCTGAAAACCTACTCTGGTCTGTTTGGCACACTACAAAGAAAGAACAAACATGCTCAGTTCATACAGAGCTCATTTTTTCTCTTGTTTATTAATAGTCATTTTTCAGAGGAACCTCTCCTGTATTCCTTAAATTACCAACTAATTGCTAATTGCTAAATTAAACCAGAGGCAGGTGTAAATTTATACCACCCCTGACACAGCAGACACAAAAGGACTCAGATTGTAATGCTAGGGCTTCCAGCACAGTATAGCTGAGGACCTGGCTGTAGAGCTGCCTCCTCCGAGGCATACAAGAAGAGTCTTTATTTTTGAACATTCTCTTACATAGAGATTCTGGATACAGTACAAGGTATGTGCTTTTAGCAAAGACTTGGGCTATCCTTTAGGGAGAAGGAGGCAGTAGCAAATGTCTTTTAGGTCTGTGGTTTCTTCCAAAATCTGAAAGACTATATACTTATACCAGATCAATTATAGACATACTGGTGTACTGGATGGTGACAAGAAATTTGGAGAGGGTAGAAGTTTTTATCATCTTTCTTCATATATCTGTCCCCAGTATATTTCTGCTACATTCTGAGAAGCATTTTTTTAGTGTCTGGCTCAAGTAGTTTGGTACTTCCACTGTTGATGATCCCTTATGCACTGTAAAGGGAGTTAAAGTAAGTTTTAGAGAGAACATTTGGCATTCAAGAATAGAGACTCGTACTCCTTGATGAAGATACTCACTTAGTATTCAGTGTTCCAGACGTGTTTTAACTGCCCTTAAAATTTTTCAGCTTAAAGCTGTGATGGCCAGGACTTGGGGTATGTCACAGACTCCTTAGCTTTGTCCTCAGGGTTATTGCAACAATTGTGTTGTGTAGGGACACTGAGATGGTGGGAAAGGGCTCTTAGATCTGGGGTATGACTTCTTTGCAACTGGTACTTAAGTCTGGAAATCATGTCACGTGAGGAGACCCTGTAATGTGGCTACAGTTAAATGAATGCTTTACCTCTTACATAATAAATCATAAGTGGGATACTCTGAGAAACAGTCCATGTGTTGGCTAAAGTTCCTGAAAGGCCTTCAGAAGTCTGGGTAATTCTTGTATTGAATTAACTAATATTCCCAGTATGTGCACAGGAAAAACAGGGCTTAGAATCAATCACTAGGGACTTTGTCAAGGTTAAACGGTGAATTACTTGTAGTGATTAATTACATCTCACCTCTTAATTCTTGAGCAATTATAGAAGCATACTGCCTTGCAGACTAATTCTCATGTCTTTCCTCTATTCTTCCACGCTATTTCCCCACAGACAAAAGCCTAAGGCTGTACATGCTGCTTTCCAGCCTAGAGTCAAGACCTGTGAAGAGCCAGTTGTGTATATGACCTTTTATTTTATTTTATTTTTTTAAGTTGCTCTCAGGCAGTGGTTGTTCAGCCTGGAGAGCCAAATAGCTCTGGGGCAAAGTAATCAGTCTGCATGCATGGTTTGCAACTAATTGTAAAACAGAAGGAGCCTAGAGCATTGGATAACTCTTTCCAGTACTGTGATGCTCAAACAAGTAGGATGCGTTTGAGACCTGCCAGCTTCTTAACCCTCAAGAGTCTACATGATAAAAATGCTATTACAGGTTAGAACAGGCAAAGAAATCTCCTACCTTCTTATGGCACGGTGTTCTCACGCTCACAGAGTGCTGAGTTGCAAATTACTGTTTCTCTCACTATATTTAGTGTTGGCGTGGTGTGACCTTTAATATTGTGCGCCCTTCTGGTCTTCACAATATAAACAGTATGTTAAGGCTCAGAGGAGGGTAACAAAGCTGGTAAATGGCATGGAAGGCATGTCTGACAAGGAGATGCTGAGGACACTTGGGTTGGAGAAGGAGAGGTTCAGGGTGGCCTCCGCTCTCTACAACTTCCTGAGGGGAAGTGGAGAGGGAGGTGCTGGTCTCTTTTCCCTGGTAACCAGTGGCAGGACATGCAGGAACAGCACAACGCTGTGACGAGGGAGGTTCAGGTTGGGTATTAGGAAGAATCTCTTTACCATGAGAGTAGCCAAACACTGGGACTGGGGCTTCCTAGAGAGGTGGTTGATTCCCATGGCTGTCAGTGTTCAAGAGGCATTTGGACAATGTCCACTTTAATATACTTTAACTTTTGGGTAGACCTGTGTTGCAGGAAGAACAGCTGAAGTCATGACATACACCAATATGGTTAGATCATACTCTCTCTATTACCCAAATAGCCTGGTTCTTATAGCAATCTAGCAGGGGTGGATAGCGTCTAACACAAGATTATTGGTCGAAAGCACTTGGACAAACACCTGCAAGAAAACAACCCCACCTGCTAGAAAACAATCCCCTTATGGTAGCAGTCACATAGACGTTGTCCTTGAAGGAATGCTGGCTGCTTGCAACGATATTTTTAATTCTTCAATCGAGCAATAGAAGAACATTGTCATGGTAACTCCTCATAGTCATCTTGGTAGCTTGGTTTGCTCAGCTGAAGCAAGTCATGGCCTCCTTGCTGTTTCAAAAACCCAACAGCCCTGAAGAGGTCAAGCAGTTGGATTGGGGTGATCTTTGAAGGTCTCTTCCACTGAACTACTCTATTATGGTATCACATATCTGAATTAGGGAAGCAAAGTTATTTTCTGTGTTCTCCAAATAAAGTTAAAGAAGTTAGAGGGTTTAAAAAAAAAATAAAAAATGAGATTTCCATGCTGATTTCAAAGTGAAACCTTTGCATCACCTTCAGTGTGTTAAAACTTGGTGATCTGCTCTTTGGAGATTCTGAGCATTGGTTTATACATGAACATTTTCATGAAGGGAAAAAAAATGGTCTGTCTACTCTTTCTCACTTGCCTTTTAAAGTATTTCACATTGTAATAGCAGGAAGTGTGGTGGTGCTGGTGGGAGACCCTGCTGAGGGAGGTTAGTGGTCTGCATGGTCTGGGGTGCCTGTTCTGAATGCAGCCTCTTCAGGAGGTTGATTCTCTTTCCTGAGCAGATCTCTGAGCACATTGCAAGAAATCTTACCTATTTAACATAGGCAAGCATGTATTTAAAGTCTTTCATTCTCCTCCTGCCTCCACTAAGCCAATATTTTCAGATAATCTTACAGCTATCTGGGCCTAGATTTTCAGTTCCCTGAGCCTATCAGGGCCTGAATGAAACTGGCTCCACTTCTTGCCTCTCTGACATGTAGGAGTCACTCTTAGGTTATTATATTGCAAAGGTAAATATCCCTCATAGTTTTCTTATGTGGCTACTAATCCAGACATATCTTTTACAGTGATGGGGGTTTGACTTCTCTGTGTTGTGGAGGCAATAGAACTTAAATTTTATCTAATACCAATGCGCTGTCTAATGTTTTTATTAATCTACTTGTCTTCAAAGCAATGGCTTTAAACACAGGACAGAAGGTAAATTTATGTTCTTTCCAGCTGTTGATTGCCAGCAGATTTACAAGACTTGTGTGATTTTTTTTTTTATAAATTATTAAACTTGGCAGGCAGGATTCAACAGTTACCAGGATTTCATTTAATATATCTATTCCCTTATACATTGCCATTTGCTAACAGCACATGAAGTAAATCCTAGGTGGCCCTGCTTTTGGAAGCTGCAGGCACTGAATTAGTTGAAAAGGACTTGAGACATGTTGCCTAAATGATTCTGCAAGGCTTTTTTTTGGATAGTAAGTTATCCTGCAGCTTAAACTGGAAATGGATCCAGACAAGTATCCCTAAATTTGAGAGGAAATATGGATACAAACTTTGAAACTAATATTTTTCTCTACTGGAAAAGAACCCCCTAATTTTCTATTTATCCCATTCCTTCTTTCCCTAACAAAGCAGTATTTTTCAGATCATGTGAATTTTATTTACTGACTACCAAGTAATTGCATGGTGAGTAATTGGATGGCTTCACAGGACTGGAAATGGAATAGTGATTGCTTAACCTGTAGGTGAGTATTTCAGCTCTGTGCTATACTGGTGGTGAATGTGGATGGGTCCCAAATATCTGCTGCGTGCCATACGTTGGGGTTCAGCCCAGCTGTGTCAGGTGTCTGCATCACAAATAACCACCAGCACAAACAGTGGAAACAGTGGATATTGGTACTCTTGGGGTAGAAGTAAAACTAAAAGGGGTCTTGAAGAATGTCCCTTTTTTTTTTTTTTTTTTTTTTTTTTTTTTAAATCTTTGTCTGGATGGACTGATCCATGGATATCCAGAGAATATGGAGGTGGTAATCCAAATCTCTTTGTTTGTGCTGAGTACCTGTGGAGCTCTCTTATCTTTGACACTAGATTAAAATCAAATATTTGATTTAGCTGCAGGATTTTAAGTAACTGTTTTTATCGCTGCTGGAGAAGTAAATGTGACTTTACAAGAATCATGTAGTAGAGAAACTGCCAGAAGGAATCAGTACATGGCATGACTTTTGTTCAGACCAGGGAAACAGCTCTTGCCATTTCACAGCAGTGGATCTTTTCTTTCTGATCCAGCAACAGTTGATTAGTTAGCCTGAGTGGTTGTAATCTGCACCAGGTCCTGCTAATATGTCTGTTTTTTTGCTTAAGAAGGAATGGTGAAAGAATGTAGTCCAGCTGTTACAATATAGAAACTTACAACATGAGCAAAGCTTGTGAAAGGAAACCCAGCAGAGAGAGCTTTTATTCATAGGGATACAGTTTTTTCATTCTATTTTTTTCCCAAAAAATCCCATGGAACTTTTTCTTCCTATAGCTTTTTGTAAATCTTCATCCCCTTGTTGCTGGGAGATTTAAAACAAACAGCCAAACAACCAAGAGTATTTAATGAACTCTGAATTGCCTTGCTATAAACTGAGAGAATTTCTAGGTTTCCCACTTACCCAATTGGCCTAAAATCACAAAAATAACCTCATCTCGTTATAATCCTATTTCACAACTCATTTTTCACGGCTCAATTCCATCCTAGACTGGTTTTTCTTTCTTTTCTTAGTTCTTGTTTTTCCCCTACCACACATGCATCCACTCTTTTCCTCTCTCACAAACAGGCTTGCTCACACACCCCCACACATCCACACTCACATACATCAGGAGCAGTTTACAGCTCAATTTGAAAGATAGTTCTTTAAAAAAGAAAAAATAAAAAAAAAATCATTGTTTCTGATGTGGAGAACAACTAACAAAACAAAGGAAACCAGAGTGGGCAGTAAAACCCTTGGGGTCTGCAAGCTTAGTTGTGGGAAATGTGGTGTTAATTTTTCTTATTTTGAAACTCACTAATGCCTCTCTCATTGAACTTGAAAGAACATTCTGTTTACTTAAAAAATAATAAAAAATAATCTGGTGACTTTGTTATATGGGATTTATTTGGGT